AGGAGGAGGAGGAGGAGAGGACGGAGGAGGGGGAGGAGGAGGAGGAGGAGGGGGGGGAGGGAGGAGGAGGAGGAGGAGGAGGAGGAGGAGGAGGAGGATGGAGGAGGAGGAGGAGGGAGGAGAGGAGGAGGAGGAGGAGGAGGAGGAGGGAGGAGGAGGAGTGAGGAGGAGGAGGAGGAGGAGGAGGAGGAGGAGGAGGGGAGGAGGAGGAGGAGGAGGAGGAGGAGGAGGAGAGGAGGAGGAGGAGGAGGAGGAGGAGGAGGAGGAGGAGGAGAGGAGGAGGAGAAGGAGGAGCCGGGAGGAGGACGGGAGGAGGAGTAGGAGGAGGAAGGAGGAGGAGGAGGAGGAGGAGGAGGAGGAGGAGGAGGTCTGGGGACTCAGGTTTTCTCTACTATCGGCCTCTCGGGGCCCTGCCCGGGCCCCGCGAGCGTAAACAGAATCGGTCCGGGACTCACGACGAACCGTTCCCGGGGAAGTGGTCGAGAGGTCAGGGGCGCGCGCCTCGACAGAAATCGAGACGCCGGGTGTGGGTCGGAGCTGGCCGGGGGTCCTGGCGGCCCAGCCCTGGTTCCGGCGAGCAGGAAGGGGCGGCGAGGTCGGAGGCGCTGGGTTCGGACCTGCTTTTTTCTGGTTTCGGCTCTCTAAACTCCTCCTCCTCCTCCTCCTCCTCCGAGCGAGCTTCTCCGAAGTACATTGCTGGGTGTGCGTACTTGTTGGCCGCTGGTGTTGCGGCTCAAGTCGAATTCAGAGGGCGGCGCATGGGGGTCATCTCTTTCCTTCGTGCAAAAGCCTTGCCGTTCGCTTTCAGTCAGTTGCCTCATGCCGTCCAGGTGCTGATCCCTGGGCACGAGGACGCAGGCGGGTGCCTCCTCCTCTCGGAACTCACGGGCAGCCTGCGGGGCTTCCTTGTCGTGGTGTGCGCCTTCTGCTTCCTGATCGGAGCCGCTGCAGGGTGCTGCTGCTGTGCCGTGGGCTATGGAGGCTGGTCAACGTGTCGGCGTCCTGTGGCAGGCGGGGCGGGACTGGCAAGTGAGAATCATCATCTGCGAATGCCCGCCCGGGGAGTACACCGACGTCGTCGGCGAGCCAGTTCCTCCAGCTCTAGTGACGAGATGCTTTTACTGCCTCACCCCAGACGGGGACATCTATCCGCACCTCCTAGCAGTCGGGCCTCTAGCTGGAGTGGTGGTGCTCGACAAGATGGGCCAGCCCATCGACTCCACATCCGAAGGCCAGAAGCTGCGGAGGAGACACTCGGTCTACGGCGCCGATTGGGAGCCGACGCCGCTCGACTACGTAGCGGCCTTGCAGTTCTGCCGCCCAGAGGCTCTCTCCAACGGTCCTCCGATCAGTCGGCGGCTGCGTGGGAAGCAGCCACTACCAGCATCGGGAACGCCGTCAGGGGATGGAGCAGTGAAGGGTCCGACTAGCCTGGAGGTCTCCGAGGGGGCCCTGCCGACGCCGCCCGACGGGCACTGCTGGGAGATCCTCGCCACGACGGGCTCGGACACGGCCCGCACGGAGTTTCTCGGTGGTGCGACTGACGGATACGCCGTCGCAGGGGGCTTCGGGCTCGTGGTGATGGGCTCGGAGGCGCATGTTGTGAGAGTGGTGAAGCGCGACGAGCTGGGCGGCGACGGGGACTTAGACGCCCGTGTGCTCAGCATCAAGGTGAATTCCGAGGGGGAGCGGCGCCGCCTGTTCAAGGATGCCGTCAACCTCCTCAGCGAGACGAGCTGGCCTTTTTGGCCAGTGCTTGGTCCGCGCACCACTCGCTGGTGCCTGCGGTTCCTGGCGGACCAGGATGCTCACCCGCGGGCACGGCACACGAAGTGGAGGCACGAGACCGGGCTCTCATCCAGTGACCCTGGCGTTGCCGAGCACGAGCTGTGTATGCGCGTGTTCGACGTAGCCATGTCCTTCGACCAACTGAACGTCAGCGAGCTGGCTTCTTTCGAGTACATCGCCAGGCGGGCGCAGCTCATCGAGCACCGCTACCGCGAGAGGGCCATGGGCCGGTCCGACGGCGTCGATGGTGCCGAGGACGACTACCTCATGATGGGGACCTCGGAGACGCGCGGCCACCTCATGATCGCGCCGGAGCTCCAGGACTACATCACGGCCGAGCTCCACCGCGAGGCGGGCGTGCTCAAGGAGCGGCGCAAGCTTCGCGAGGAGCGGGCCATCTCCAGTCGCGGTGGCGGAGGAGGCGGCGCGGGCAGAGGCGGCGACGACAAGGGCTCGTCGCAGCAGAAGATCCAGCAGCAGGCGGCGGAGCTCAAGCGGCTCCAGGCGGGCCGTGGCAGCGGCGGCGGAGGCGGCGGCGGCGGCCAGCCGGAGGGCGATGCCGGGGGCGGCCGCGGTGGCGGCCGCGGGGGCAAGTAGCCCACAGGCGCCCCCCGCCGGCCGGGCTGCCCTTGGGCGGGCCTTGCCGGCTCCTCGGCTGGGATGGTGGTCGCTCGCGAGCTGCTGCCTATCAACCTGGCCGCCCTCTCGGCGGCGCGCGAGCCGCCCGGCGCTGGGCGCTGCAGCCGCAGCGTCCGCAGCCGGCTCCTCCGCCGGACCCTCGTCGACGAGCGTGTGCGCGAGTCGGTGACCGCCCTCAACCTTTTGTACAACCACGGCGAGGCCCAGGTTTCGCATCAACTTTCTCTCGCTCAGCTCCGAGGTGTCGAGCATCTCCGACGTGGTTGGGAGCGACTCGGCGCCCCGGATGTGAGCCCCGCGGCAGCCTGCAGTGAGCTGTGCGGGAGCAGGCCCGGGTACGGTGACCCGGTGAAGACGGCTCCTTACCAGCGAGACCTTGTCTCGCTGCCGACCGGCGGGGTCCTGGCCGAAGGGGGCCAGTGCCTCGGCGGTGCGGCTTTAAGTTTCTGGAAGGAGTGGCGACAGCATCTTTTGCGGCCCGGTGTCAGCCGGGAAGTAGTGCAGAAATTCAAGCCCCACGTCGACAGTCGTCTACGTGCGAAGGGCACCTACGCCCAGTTCGTGTTAGACCTCCAGGCCGCCGGTTTGGTGAACCTGCGAGGCCGCCTTGACGCGACATTGGGGGTGTTCTTTGTGTGGAAGAGTGATGGCGTCAGGCAGAGACTGATTTTTGATACTCGGGGCAGCAACGAGTTCTTCAATTCGCCCGAGTATTCTCAGTTGCCCACGGCTAGTGCATGGAACTCTCTATACGTGCCAGATCAATGCGAGCTCTCTTTGTGCCAGGCAGATGTTGACAATGCATTCTATCGGATCGGCCTGCCTGCAGGGATTGAAGAGTATTTTGTCCTTCCCCCCGTCTCCTGTCGTCACCTTGAGGCACTCTGTCCAGGCAGCTCCGGGGAGCTTCGCGGGGTGGGTGAGCTCTCGCCCGTCCTCCGCGTGTTACCCATGGGGTGGTCTTGGTCTTTATACTTCTGTCAGTGTATGGTTGAGCAGGCTGTTCTTGACTCCGGCCTCCCCCCCTCCAGACTGGTCCAGGATAGACGTGCAGTCGCTGGCCTCGAGGAAGGGCCTCTCGCTGCCGTGTATGTCGACGGGGTCGCTTTCCTCGGGACCAGCGAAAAATGCTGCTCGGACGGATGCGCGTCTGCCGTCGAGCTCCTGGGATCTCGTGGTCTGGTTTGTAAAGGGATGGTCGGGGCGTCGGAACAGCAGTCTTTCACAGGCCTCACGTTTGAACGCAGCTCTGGAATCATTTCGCTTTCGACCCGGCGCCTGTGGAAAATTCGTCTGGGGCTCCTGGAGCTTTGCCGTCAGGGCTGGTGCACCGGGGTCCAGATGCGCCGGGTCCTGGGCCATTTAACCTGGGCTTTCTTGTTGAAACGTGAGCTTCTGTCTATCCTCAGCAGCGCTTTCCGTTTTTGTGAGATGGCTGGGGAGCAGCGGTGGCGTCTCTGGAGTTGTGTGATTCGGGAGCTGCGGATCGCGGCAGCACTTCTGCCGTTTGCCGCTGTCGACACCAAGAGGCCGTTCGACCCGTGCGTGATGGCCTCCGACGCTTCCGGGGCCACCGAGTTCGACTTCGGGGGTTTCGGCGTCTGCGAGCGGGCTTGGGACTCCGAGGCAGTTCGAGCCGTGGCCAGCCGTGCGGAGAAGTGGAGGTACTGCGTCGAGGATGCCATCTGCGCCCGAGAGCAGAGTCTCGGGCTGGCCCCTCAAGGCCCCTCCAAGCCTCGAGTTTCCCACGTGAGAGCCCGCCGTGGGGTCACCGACTTCTTCCACATCGATGGGGAGCAGATCGGGGATTTCGACACCTGGTCCACCGTTTTGTTCGGCCGGTTCGCCTCGTCGGAGAATATCATGCGGGCGGAAGGGCGGGCCTTGGTGATGGGGGCCCGACACAAGCTACGAAATGTCAGCAGCTTCGGCCGCCGTCACCTACTTCTGTGCGACAACATGTCTGTGGTCTTAGCTACGGGCAAAGGGCGTTCGACATCCCCATTGCTGAATCGAACATGTCAGGAGTTATTGTGTCTTTCTATTCTCTCAAATTCTTCATTCGCGGTCCGTTGGATTGCATCAGAGTTGAATCCTGCAGACGATCCCTCCCGCAGCCTCTCGGCCCGCGCCAGCGCATGGAGGCGCGACCCACGCGGGCCGGTGTTCCGCGATGCTCCGGCGTCCTGGGCCAGGCCTGGGGACACGGGCGGCGCGAGGCCTTCGGCCGGCACTGCCTTCGATCGTGAGCTCGAGCGGACCATCGTGCAGCGAGCCCGCGGACATCTTGCAGCTCCGCTCGGGCTTTGTGGGCTCGGCGACGGGCTCGATCCCGAGGCCCGCCCCGCTGGGCTGGCGCGGTGCGACGTCGAGCCCGCCAGCGACTGCGGTGACCGCGGTGGTGGCCGCGCCAGCTCGTCCACCTCTTCCAGTCGTTCGGGCAGTCCGGGCTCAGGGAGCGGCCGCAGCTGCTGCAGTTCGCGGAGGACGGACCGCGCGGGCCAAGAGGACGGCGCGAGCTGCCGCTCTGCAGGCTCGTCGTGCGGGCCATCGGCGCCGCCTTCTGCCCGCAGCTTCCATGGCGGCCGTGGAGGGTCTGACGTTCTTACAGACTTCTCGAGCGGGGCACGGGACACAGCTGCACTACCAGCGAGCTTACACCGACTTCCTGGACTGGAGCCAGGGGGAGAAGCTGAGGCTCAGCACCGTGGTCGACTTAGACCGGGCCCTCGCCAGCTATCTGGATCACCTGTTCTTCGACGGTTGGAACCGGGACCAGGGCGAGAAGACCTCGGCTGCTGTCCTCTTCTTTCATCCGAGTCAGGGCTTGAAGCGGCCGGGGGCCCTGGAGGGCAGCCGGGCCGCACTCAAGGGTTTCAAGAAGATGGCTCCTGGCAAGACCCGCAGACCGCTTCCCAAGCAGGGGGTCTTCGCGATCATCGGGGCCGGCGTGTTCTGCGGCTTGCTCGACTTTTGCCTCGGCCTCCTCGTCGCCTGGGACGCGTACCTCAGGTTGCCCAGCGACCTGATTGGCATGGTGGGCGGATCCCTGGTGGCGCCAGCTCGTCAGAGCCGGATCAACAGGTGGGCCATTCTGCTGTTCCCCGAGGAGCTGCCCGACCGGAGCAAGACGGGCCACTTCGACGAGGGGATGGTGCTAGAGTCGGACGCCGTGCAGAGCGTGAGCTTCGCCCTGAGTGCCCTGAAGGCGCGGAGCCAGAAGGACAAGCCCCTGCGGCCTTTCTCCGGCCCAAGGTTCCGCCGGGACTTCGCCGCGTGCGCCAGCCTGGCGGGGCTCGACGACGTGCGCCCGTACCAGGTCCGCCGCGGGGCCGCCTCCCACGACGTGCTGTTCAAAGTGAGGGAGTTCGGGGCGGTCCAGGAGCGGCTCAGGCACCTGAGCGAGTCCAGCACACGGCGGTACCGCAAGGGGACCCGCTACCTGGCCGAGTGCGAGAAGCTGTCTCCCGAGATCAAGGCGTTCGGCGAGTGGGTCGAGGCCAACCTCGCCGGCCTCTTCTCCGGGCGGCTGCGCTGCCAAGCGCCACCAGGGCGCAGGGGCTGAGCGCCGCCGCCCGTGGAGCTGGAGTCTGGAAGGCTGGGGGCACCCTCGACTCCGCGACCCGCCTGAGTCGGGATGCCATCCGCCGAGCTTGGTCTCAGGCCTTTTCGGCCGCCTCCACCGCTGCTCCCCGCAAAGGCCAAGTTTTCCTTGACTTATTCTCTGGGGTCGGGGGTATCGCTCGCGGTCTTCGTAAGTGTGGCGGCTGGGGAGTCATTGAGGTCGACGCCAAATTCAACCCCGCTTTTAATCTCAACAACCCCGTGGTCGTGGATTTGATCGTGGGGTGGATCAGCAGTAAGCTGGTCCGGGGGATCTGGCTGGCCTTTCCCTGCTCCACGTGGAGCGTGGCCTCCCGCGGGCGGTACCGAACCCACTCCCAACTTTTCGGGCGTACCGATCTGGACCCTGTGGGCCTCGAGCGGGCCCTTGCGGGCAACCGCTCCCTCCTCGCCACGTGCCGGATCATCGGCTCGTGTATTCGTGCCCGGGTCCCAGTGGTCGCCGAGAATCCTAGTAGTAGTCTCGCTTGGTTCACTCCGAACATGAAAAGACTAGCCACTCATCCTGCCTGCCGAGCTTATGTCTTTGATTTTTGCCAATTCAAAGTGCCTTGGCGCAAGCGCACAAAAATTTTGGCCTGGCATCTCCAGCTTGCTCCCCCCTCTTTCTCCTGCCTCTGCTCTTCCCGCCACGGAGTGTGTGATTTTTCTGGGGAGGCCCACGTTCATCTTTCTGGCGCTATTCCAGGGTCGTCTCAAAAATGGACCTCCCGCGCCGAGCCCTATCCGTCAAGCATGTGTACTCAAGGGGCCAAGTGGATGTGGGCCTCCGCCGGGGCCATCGAAGCCAGTCGTCTGAATCAACTTGCGTGCCAGTGACTTATGTGATTGCTTGCCCTCTGAAGACGGCCTCAGCGGCCAGGGCATAGAATGGGAATTGGTGATGCTGCGAAGCCTGCTCAGGCGACCTCGGCTTGAGGCCGAATCTTTTGCGCTGCCTTCCCAATTCGCTGAGATCTCAGCTGGCTGTCGATTCCTACATAATCTGTTCTGGCCCCTCGGGAGAGGAAAAGGTGAGCGCGCCCAGCAGAGCGAGCTTCTCCGAAGTACATTGCTGGGTGTGCGTACTTGTTGGCCGCTGGTGTTGCGGCTCAAGTCGACCTCCTCCTCCCCTCCACCTCCTTGCCGTGTCGCAACGTGCCGCCTCTCTCTACGGCGGTGATGCTGCGAAGCCTGCTCAGGCGACCTCGGCTTGAGGCCGAATCTTTTGCGCTGCCTTCCCAATTCGCTGAGATCTCAGCTGGCTGTCGATTCCTACATAATCTGTTCTGGCCCCTCGGGAGAGGAAAAGGTGAGCGCGCCCAGCATCCTCCTCCTCCTCCCCTCATCATCAGAGGCGGGAGAGAAAGGGCCGCAGGGGGGTGAGCAGGAGCCTCCTCATCAGAGGCGGGAGAGAAAGGAGGGACAGGAGGAGAATGAGGAGGAGGAGGAAGAGGAGGAGGATGAGGAGGAGGAGGAGGAGGAGGAGGAGGAGGAGGGGGGGGCGCCGTTTTCGGGCCCCGGGGTGGTGACACACGGGTCCGGGGGCTGGTCGGGGTCCGTCGGACGGGGGCACGGCGAGGATAATTAGCTGCTCCAGAGCGTTCCGGAACACTCTCGCTCTCAGAGCGTTCGGGAACGCTCTTAGAAGGCCGTGGCGCCTGATACATTCTCCAGAGCCGCCAGGTCACAGAGATTCTCGATCAACCCTCACCCGAATCTATCCTCGTCTTGGTTTCGTCTTGGTCCGCGGACCGATTGGATGTGGCTTCATCCCTCCCTCTCCTGACCGATGTTTCTGGGGTCCCAGCCAGTTCGGACACCCCGGCCTCCTCCTCCTCCTCCTCCTCCTCCTCCTCCTCCTCCCCCTCCTCCTCCTCCTCCTTCTCCTCCTCCTCCATGTTGAAAACGGCCCGCTCTCCATTTGTGAAACTGCTGCCAATCTTAAGCTTCAGAGTCATGAATGGTGAGAAAGTCTTAGGCGAAACACCCGGCCCGCCCTAAACATTGGCCTCGGGGTGAGACAGGGAGAATTCATTTAGAAGGAAAAGGAATGGAGGGATGTGGAAGAGGAGGAGGAGGAGGAGGAGGAGGAGGAGGAGGAGGAGGAGGAGGAGGGGGAGGAGGAGGAGGAGGAGGAGGAGGAGGAGGAGGAGGAGGAGAAAGAGCGAGGAGGAGGAGGAGGAGGAGGAGGAAGGAGGAGGAGGAGGAGGAGGAGGCCTCTTGTGCTTGCACATCCCCGCGCTCCTCTCCACTGCCCCCCTCCCTGCCCCTGCCGAGGAGTGCTTCCGCGCCGCGCTGGCCGAGGAGGGGGGGCCTGGATGCGCTCGCTCGGCGCAAGCGCCCGGGGCCAACTGTAGTCGACTACGTAAGAGTGACCCTTCGCCGGAGTGACTTTTGGTGTGGGCCCAATGGGGCCCCCCGATCGCTGAACTTGAAGCGGTAGCAGCGGCTTGCGCGCCCAGATTTGGCCACCCCGCGTTCCCCGCTGAGCCGCGCACCAGAGGTCACTCCTGCCCAGGGTCACACTTGCCTGCAGCCGATTGAGGAGGAGGGTCCGATACGTCTGCGCACATGCCAGGGGCACAGTTCGAGTCGGGCTCGCGGAGTTGCGGAGTTCGTGTGTCGTGAGGTTGTTTTAGCAGCTCATGTTTTGTCTGCTTGCCCTTCATGTTTCTCCTTCTCACTCTCTCTTTCTCTCTCGCTCGCTCTCTGTTGGTATGTATGTGTGTATATATAAATATACATGTATATATATATATATATATATATATATATATATATATATATATATATGTGTCGTCGGTATCGCTCTCTCTCTCTCTCTCTCTCTCTCCCTGGATCGTATCTGATCGGACGTGGAGTTGTTCCGTCGTGAGTTTGTTGTTGTGTTCCTCCTCTCTCTGTCTCTGTCTCTGCTTATCTCTCTCGCTCTCTCATTATCTCTCCCACTCTTTCTCTGTCTCTCTCTTTTTGTCGGTCTCTGTCTCTCTCTCTCGCGCTCTCTGCTTCTGCCCCCCTTCTTTCTCCTCTTCCACCCACCCACCCTGAGTTCGCATGAGTAATCGCCGCTCCCCTCATCCCATTCTCCCCTGCTGCCCAGCTTGCTCACCGCTCCCTCTCTCTCTCGCTCTTTGTCGCATCCGCGGTGTGGAACGAGCCCTTCTACCCAGACCCCGCGCTCACGGCACCAGAGGCTCGGCGGCTCCCGCCCGGAGTGCCAGACACAGCCCGCGCGATGGCGGGCCGGATTCGAAGCAGGTCGCAGGTGGGGGCCCTCTCGCCTCTCGGCTTACAGTCAACGCGCCTAGTAAGGACGCGCGCCTTTTCTAGGGTACCCTTGTGTCCTTGCTTCTGCGGCTCTCTCGCCTCTCGCCTCTCGGCTCTCGGCTTGCAGTCAACGCGCATAGTAAGGACAAACGACTTTTTCAAGGGTACCCTTGGGTCCTTGCTTCTGCCTTCGCCTCTGCGGCCCGTCCCTAGCAATTTTCGCAGGCCAGTTTCTCAGGTTCCCCGGGGGGTTTGGCCGCCTGCCGCCCAGAATACTTCAACTACGGCCTCCAAGGGTCTTGCGTCCTTACCGCCCGTCCTTATTTCACGTTTTCAATGTGTTCCGGCTACGTGGCAGCAGCGAGGAGGAGCAGGAGGAGGAGGAGGAGGAGGATGAGGAGGAAGGGCAGGGGGAGGAGGCGCAGGAGGAGGAGGAGGAGGAGGATGAGGAGGACGAAGAGGAGGAGGAAAAAGAGACAAGGAGGAGAAGGAGGAGGAGGAGGAGATGGAGTTGGAGAAGGAGAAGGAGAACGAGAAGGATCATGAAAGAATGTGGAGGAGAAGGAAGAGGAGGAGTGAGGGAGGGGAGGAGGGAGGGAGGGAAGGAGGGGGGGAGGGAGGGAGGGAAGGAAGGAGGGAGGGAGGGACAGAGGGAGGGATTGAGGGAGGGACGGAGGGAGGGACGGAGGGAAGGAGGGAGGGAGGGAGGGGGGAGGGGCAAGCTATGTGCGCTCGCGTCATATCTGACGTCCTACCCCTTCCTCCCATCCCTTACCATGGCGCTGATTTTCTCTGTCCGCGGACGCGTGTCGTAGCGGACCTGTGGCTCCGCGTGCGGGTGCGTAGCGGGTGGTGGTGCTCTTGCGTGCGTGCGTGTGCGTGGTTGTGGTTGTGGTGGTGGTGATGGTGGTGTGTGTGTCTGTGTGTGCGTGTGTACGCGTGTGCTGTGGTGTGACGTGGTGTGGCGTCTTGGTGGTTTGGTGGTGCGCTAGGTGCGTGCGTGCGTGATGGCGGTGGTGGTGGTGGCGGTGGTGGTGGTGGTGGTGGTGTGTGTGTGTGTTTGTGTGCGTGCGCGTGTGTGTATGTGTGCGTGTGTGTGTGTGTGTGTGTGTGTGTGTGTGTGTGTGCGTGCGCGTGCGTGCGTGCGTGTGTGTCTGTGTGCGCGCGTGTGATGTGGTGTGACGCGGTGTAGCGTGGTGGTGGTGGGTGGGGTAGTGGGGTGGTGGTGCCGGTGCGCGGTGGTGGTGCGCGTGCGTGCGTGCGTGCGTGCGTGCGTTGGTGGGTGGAAGTGGCGGTGGGCGGGGCGGGGCGCAGTGCGGTGGTGGCGGGCGGATGGGCGCGCGAGAAAGAGGCCCGCGCTGGGGCGAGAACGCCATCCTGAACGTTGGAGGCAAAACACCGATCCGAAAATGAGGCCCACGCTGCAGCGGGAGCACGATTCGGAACGAGCGGAAGCCCGAAAGCGAGAGCAGCATTTTGAAAAACAACCCAAGCGAAAACCCAACTCCGGGAAATCTTTTTTTATAACAACAAAAAAACAAAAAAAAACGTGCGCCGAGGGGTGCCCGCTATCTTCCGCACGCCATCAGGGGATGGAGGAGAGTGTATTCAGTATTCATATTGAGTAATTGTGGAGGAGGAGGAGGAGGCGGAGGAGGAGGCGGAGGAAGAGGAGGAGGAAGAGAATGCGGAGGAGGAGGAGGAGGCGGAGGAGGAGGAGGAGGAGCAGGAGGAGGTCAGAGCGGGACGGCAGAAGCGAAGGTCGGCGCTCCCGCCCCGCGGAGGAGCCCCCGGCGGCGCTGCCTGGCGCCTCTGCCCAGGTACGCCTGCGCTTCTTCGGGCTGGTGCCCGCGAGGGCCTGGGTGGGGAGGCCGCGCCCTCCGCCGTGCCTCCTTCTAGTCAGAGCGTGAGTTGCCTACCCCGCTCTCTCTTCCGGGCAAAACCAAGGCATACCACGCGCCTCCTCGTCAAGCGGCCTAGCCAGTACAGGCCGCAGTTTGGCATCGCTTGGTGTCCCTTGGAAGCGAGGGTGGTCAAAAGCGAGGTAGGTTTGTTTTCCCCCATAGTCAGAGCGTGAATTACCTACCCAGCTTTCGCTTCCGGGCAAAATTAAGGCATACCACGCGCCTCCTCGTCAAGCGGCCTGACCAGTACAGGCCGTAGTTTGGCGTCGCTTGGTGTCTCTTGGAAGCGAGGGTGGTCAAAAGTGAGGTAGGTTTGTTCCCTACCTAGGCTCTGCCTAGAAGGGTTCTTACTCTCTATCTTGAAGGGGCCGGGCAGTGGAAACCGCCCCGGGCGGTTCCCCCAGGATCCGCCCCGCGGTTCCCCCAGTTACGTCCCCTTAGCTCAGCGTTGCTGATCTCATCTTAGCTAAGCCTAGCTCAACTCAGCTTAGCTTATATTAACATAGCCTAGCTTAGCTTAGCCTAGCTTAGCTTAGCTTAGTTAGCATATCATAGCCTAGCCGAGCTTAGCTTAGCTTAGCTCAGCTTAGCGCAGCGCAGCATTAGCATAGCATATCATAGCATAGCATAGCACATCATAGCATACCATAGCACATCATGGCATAGCATAGCGCAGCATACCATAGCGCAGTATAGCATAGCATATCATAACATATCATATCATGTCATAGCATAGCATAGCGCAGCATAGCATAGCGCAGCATAGCATAGCATACCATAGCATAGCATAGCGCAGCATAACGCATCATATCAACGCATATCATATCATATCATAGCGCCGCATACCATAGCATAGCATAGCATACCGCAGCATATCATATCATATCATATCATAGCGCATCATATCATAGCATAGCATAGCATAGCATAACACAACGCAGCCGAGCGTACCCTAGTATAGCATAGCATGGCATAGCGCAGCATATCATAGCATAACATAGCATAGCGTAGCATATCATAGCATAGCATAGCATAGCATAGCATAGCACAGGTGTAGATGTTAACGTAGTTGTCGGTGTAGATGTATATGTTGCTTTCCTAGATGCTCCAACTCCTATGTAGGGTCGCGCTGGGATAACTTTCCCCCTATCTAGGCCTCCTAGACGAGGTCGGAGCAGATGGGGTCGGAGGATCGCGACGCATCGCAGTGCATCGCCGACGCGGCCCGATGCGGAGTCCGACTTGCTTCACGTCGATGTCGCCGATGCATCGCCGACGTCGACGATGCGTCGCCGGTGCATCCCCGATGCATCCCCGATGCATCGCCGATGCATCGCCGATGCATCGGCGACGTGGCGCGATCCCCCGACCACATCTGCTCCGACCCCATCGAGGAGACCTCTACTCCTGGGGTCGGGGACGGCCGGCGTTTCCTCAGGAGCAACCCCCTCGCGCTGCGACAGAAACCGCGGCGGGAAGCTTTGCCCTGCTTTCGGCCTCTGGGGGCCCTTGCCAGGCCCCCGGACCGTCAGAAGACGGCTGAGGATGAAACATCGGTCTTCGGGAAGGGGTACCCCGACTCCAGATCCGCCCTACTTTGGCTTTTTTTTTCAACTAACTTAAAATTGCGTCGGAAATCCACCTATTTGAGGCCGAATAAGTAGGGCGGAAATTGCTGCACCTAGCATAAAGTGGGGCGGAAATCCACAGAAGCAGGGCGGAAACAGCGACAGAAAAGTAGGGCGGAAATCGGCATCAGCGGGGCTTGAGAAGTAGGGCGGAAATTCCAAGGCCTATTTACGACTTTCTCCAAAGTGGGGCGGATCCGGAGTCAGGGTCCGGGAAGGGGTACCTTTTGCCCGGGACGGGTTTTTCCATCTGGTCGACCCCCAGAGTTCGACGCCGAGACCTCTGGGGGTCGACCGGAGGATCTCGACCCCCGGGGCTCTTCATCCGGTCGACCCCCGGGGACGTCGAGACCGGAGGTCACGTCGACCCCCCCAGACCCCCGACGTCATGATTTTTTCATGACGCGACCCCCAGAGGCCCAGACCCATTCCCCGGGACCGGTTCTTCGTCCTGAGTCGTTTTTTGACGGTCCCGAGGCCCGGGAAGGGCCCCCGGAGGCCGAAAACAGCGAAAAACCTCCCGTCGTGATTTTTTCGTGACTCGAGGGGGTCTGGGGGGGCGTCGAGACCAGAGGTCACGTCGACCCCCAGAGGTCTCGACGTCGAGACCTCTGGGGGTGGGCGCTGTGGCAAGAGCACGGCGTCTCGGGGGCCTGGGGGTCGGCGGCTGGCCCGCGTCCTCGCGGCGCACGGCGTCGCAGGCCCCGGGCCCCCGAGGTCCCCCGCGGAGGGAGCCATCCGCGGAGAAAAGGCGAGCGCAAGCTGACGTGAGAGCCGTGAGACCCAGACCCCCTCGCGTCGTGAAAAAATCACGACGGGAGGTTTTTCGCCACTTTCGGCCTCCGGGGGCCCTCGCCGGGCCTCGGGGCCGTCAAGAAACGACTCAGGACGAAGAACCGGTCCCGGGGAAGGGGTCCAGACCTCTGGGGGTCGAAGTTGTGAAAAAATCACGACGTCGAAGTTGCGAAAAACCTCCCGTCGTGATTTTTTCACAACGCGAGGAAGTCTGGGGGGAGTGCGCAAGCGCTGCACTGCTGGGGCGCGGCTCTTTTCCGAGAAGGGGCCCTCGCGGGACGTGCCCTTTGACTCCATGGCCCTGCCTCGCGGCGCTTCTCGTAGCTGGAAGCCCAGACCTCCTCGCGTCGTGAAAAAATCACGACGGGAGGTTTTTCGCTATTTTCGGCCTCCGGGGGCCCTCGCCGGGCCTCGGGACCGTCAAAAAACGACTCAGGACGAAAAACCGGTCCCGGGGAATGGGTCTGGACCCCTGGGGGGCGCGTCATGAAAAAATCATGACGTCGGGGGTCTGGGAAGGTGCAGGAAAGCTGGGGAACCGAACCGAACCGGCCGAACCGAACCGGGCCGAACCGAACCGGCGCGAACCGCTTTTTCTATCAACAGGAACCGCACTGATCTCCGCGGAGCAATCCCGGGGGCATCAAGAGGGCGAGCGGAAGTAAGATCATAGAGCTGGGCAAGAACAATCAGATCTCGAACGAACTCGAGATCAGAATCTGCAACCGGGGCCTCTCCATCCAAACTGGGCGCGGGCGGCAAACCGTCAGCCAGGTTACCCCCGGGGACCTCGTATAGAGCTCCTCACACGCTCGGAGGTACACCCCCAGGAGGCTATCCGGACGCACGCCTATCGAGGACGGAGCCCGTTGTTTCAAGGTCTGGGCGATAAACGGCCGTGATCGGCCCTCTCCTCCTCCTCCTCCTCCTCCTCCTCCTCCTCCTCCTCCTCCTCCTCCTCCTGTCCTCCTCCTCCTCCTCCTCCTCCTCCTCCCTCCTCCTCCTCCTCCCCCCTCCTCCTCCTCCTCCCTCCTCCCTCCTCCTCCCCTCCTCCTCCTCCTCCTCCTCCTCCTCTCCTCCTTCTCCTCCTCTTCCCCACCCCCCCCTGGATTACGGCGCGCTCTTTGGCCCACGTCTGCAAAGATCTCCTGCGGATTCTCCGAGGGTTGCCTAAGATTTCTGGCGGCCCCCCGCCGTGGTGTGATTTGGGGGGACGAACTCCCCCGCGCTGCCCTTCCCCGATCGCGCCCGGCATCGCGAATAATCCGAAAGACAGCCTCCTCCTCCTTCCTCCTCCTCCCCCTCTCCTCCTCCCTCCTCCCTCCTCCCCTCCTCCCACTCCTCCTCCTCCTCCTCCTCCTCCTCCTCCTCCTCCTCCCTCCTCTCCTCCTCCTCCTCCCTCCTCCTCCTCCTCCTCCTCCTCCTCCTCCTCCTCCTCCTCCTCCTCCTCCTCCTCCTCCTCCTCCTCCTCCTCCTCCCTCCTTCTCCCTCCTTCTCCGAAAGACAGGCTCATGGGCGCCCTCCGACCGTGTATCCCCGAGCTGGGCCCCAAAGTGTTGGTCCGTGCGAGAACCCCAGGAGGTCGGGGACGGGGGTCGACATGTCTCCTGTGACCTCGTTGGGGGGGGGACACGTTCGGGAACGTCTTCCCTCCAGAGGTCCTCGAGAGTTCTGGTGGTTTCGGGGGAGCGTAAGACCCGGGTTTGCCAGGACTCGGGTTCGCCATCGTTTTTTGACGACCGCGACTCGGATTTGGACGAGGAGGAGTTTTGTGGGATGTCTGCAGCGGGAGGCCTCGTCAAAATGCAGGCTCGGCCTCGTCATTTTTTTGACGACCTCGTCGGGGATTTCCGAGTCCCCCGTACCCGGGTCTTACGTCTCCCCGATGCTTGCCTGTGGGTTTTCTCGCCCAGGGTGCTTCCCAGCAGCGGCGCCCCGACGGGCGTGTCCTGTGGGGCGCCAGGGTCGCCCCGATGACGGCCGCCGGAGAGCCGAGCCCACGACCCGAGAGCCAGAGGTGGCAGCCATCATTGAGGTCGGGTGCGTGTGTTCTGCATGGGACAATCATCGCCCCCCTCCTTGAATCCGCCTGGGGGGGGGGTGAGCACGTGCGGGGTCGGAGGAGGAGGAGGAGGAGGAGGAGGAGGAGGAGGAGGAGGAGGAGGAGGAGGAGGAGGAGGAGGGAATCGGACGCCAAGGCTATCGCCTCGGCCGTCCGCTTTCAGCTCTTCAGGTAGGTGGACGGACGTGGCGCGCTGCGGCCACGTGCGAGGAGGAGGAGGAGGAGGAGTAGGAGGAGGGAGTCCGTAGCCATTTTGGCTCAAGCGTTCTCCTCCCATCCTGGCTCAAGCTGGCTGACCCCCGACATGCGAGGCGCTGTCTGGTCTGGGATTGTGATTTTTGAGCTGAGGGGAGGACTCTTGGTGGCGGTGCGCGCCCTCGTGGAGTGCGATGCCCGGACGACGGTCTTGGGCAGGACAGCTCAGGCATGGATGGAGAGACAACGTAGATTGGACCTCACACTCGAGGCCAGATCATTTCTT